CTGTGATTGAGAAGTGGTCACTTTAAATGTAAGGGCAAATGTCAGAATATCAGTTTAAAGAAAGTAGATGGAGAGAGAGGAGCCCAGCACACCAAGCAGGAGAGATGCCTCTTAGATTTTATCGCTGGCCACCAACTGCAGTCACTTGAACCAGATACAGTATTGAAAAGTGCCATGGTGAGCAAGGCCTGCCTCTGATGTGAGACAAATAAATTTACACCTTAAAAAGTGAATGCCAAGGCAACATGACACTATGAGCCTTCATGATATCTAGGGACACCAGCAGGGTGTGGTACTGCGCCCTGGAGTCGGAATCCTGGGTTCTGGTCCCTAGGAGTGAGAAAATGAAAATGACTTGTCCCTACTCCCCTGGCATTGATCCTCCCGCCCTGCTGCTCCGTCTTCTGTTCCCAAGCCCATGTGCAGTGCTCAGCCCCAGACATCACTGCCCCCAGGGCATACACAGTGCCGCCTACTGCACACACACACAAACTCACAGAAGGTGACAAAAATCTGCGTTCGGGACATCCGATCGTGAAAGAGGGAGAACGGTGAACGTAGAGCCACAGAGACTGGGACTCACAGGACTGGAAGGTGATGGAGCCATAACATAGTATATGTGTGACCTCCTTTGAAATGTGCAGAACCTTGCTGAATAAAACACGCAGCCTGGCCTGGGATTTGGCCACCCACACTTCCCTTCCAGTCCACCAGAGGGCGGCAGAGTCCCTCCAGCCTGGAGCCTTCCCAGGGGATGCCGACCTCCCTCAGCAGAACCTGTAGCCAAGCAGGGTCCACCTTCACCAGGGTCACCTCGGCCCAAGTCCTCAACGTCCTCCATGTTCCCCACACGGATTCTGTCAGCTCCTCCCTGACCTGGCGGCCACCAACCTAACACCACTCCCTCTGCAGGCAGCTCCTGCCCCCCACACCTGCTCCTTCCCTGGGCTCAGGTAAAAAGACATCTCCCAGGGCAGAGCTGGTGCACGCGACGCCACACTACGCGCTTTCCCCTCGTAACCTCTCTCCATCCTCATCAACTCTTTCTGTCACTGCTCCCTAAATGCCCGCCTCTGCTCCATCTGTCCTGTTCTGTGGGGCATCCTAGGCCAAACCTAGTGCTGACACAGAATAGCGGCTGCCTGAGGGCCCACAGCCTCCCCGGGAATGAGTCAGACACCCTGTGACCTGCCTGCCCGCTGCACTCCGTGGGGCTCAGAGCGCGTGTGACGGTCACACACAGGCACTACATAGGATGTGTCCACCTACCCCCGGCTGTCCCTTGGGAAGCAGACCTCTCCTGTGTCCCTGGTGGGAGAAGTGGGTATTATTGCTCTTTGCTCCCAGAATACAACTCACCCCCACCCGCCTTCTCAGGTGTGAGCGACGTCCCTCCAGAGAGGCTCTCTGGTGACTGCCTGCTCCTCCTCTACAGAGAGTATCTTGGCCAGGTCAAAACCCTCAGGACAGACCCCTGGGTATGTCAGCACATGGAGGGCTGAGCCCATCACGAGCACGGAGTAAGTTGGGATGAATCTCTCCAACTCTGAACCCCTGCTCTGTCCCAGTCTCCCCTTCCCGTATCTCATTGAGCCATGTGCCACGGGGTTCCTGGGTAACTCCCCACTTCCTCCTGCACCAACATGGGGAAGGTGTGGTGACCACAGGACAATCAGATGGCCAGGGAAGAGAGGACACCAAAAATGGTCAGGAAGAGATGAGAAACCCATCCACCAGTCCCCAGGGTGCAATAGAGTGACTGAGAACTGTCCCTTTGACCATGGGAGTCACAGCCCCCACTAAGCAACCAGCACAGGCCTCTCCTCCCAAGAGGCATGAGAGATTCACCCTGCACACCTCCAGGAAGGACAGTTTCCTCTGGGACACCCAGGTCATGAATGTCCATCCTTGGAAGTTGCAGCCAAGCTAGACACAATTATAGAAAGGAAGGGTCCCTGTCACCAGGCAACACAGAGCTTACCCACAGCACAATGGGGTGTCCCTATAACAGGGACCTGGTGCAGCTCCAGCCTCCTGCACTGAAGGGGAGAGCCAGATGGAGATGAAAAGAGGGCAAGGGGTGCAAATGTGCACCCCGACGCAGAGCCACTGGGACAGCAGGAGGCTGAGGCCCAGAACTGTGCTTGCCCAACCTACAGGGTATGTGTGTGACTGTGTGTGTCTGTGTGCGTCTCTTTTTTGTGTATGTTTGTGGTTTTGCACATAGTGTGAAGCGAGGTTTGGTGACAAAATCACTGCTGAAAAATACAGAGGCCTCCACAATTCCCATGGACCTGACACACAGACAAAAGGAAAAAGAGAAGAAGGGACAAAGAGGCAGGACTGAGAGGGGAGGGGATAGAGAGGTGTCCTGGTCACAGACCCCGCCCATAAGCCTGAGAAGTGCTCCTGCCCCGGGAAGAGGCTCAGCACAGAAGGGGGAAGGACAGTACAACTGACAGCCCTGCTCGGAAAGATTCTGGATCACAGGTTCATCTCCACAGAGGAGAACACGCAGGCAGTACAGGCCATGGGGCCCCTCTCAGCGCCTCCCTACACACTGCACATCACCTGGAAGGAGCTTCTACTCACAGGTGAGGAGAGAACTTCGTGGGAGAGGACAGGAGGAGGAAGCAGAATGATTGGATGGGGTCTCCTGGAGAGGATGGGGTTCTAAAAAATAAAATAAGCCAGCACTTTGGGAGGCTGAGGTGGATGGATCATGAGGTCAGAAGTTCAAGACCAGTCTGGTCAACACAGTAAAGCCCTGTCTCTACTAAAAACAGAAAAAATTAACGAGTTGTGGTGGTGAGCTCCTGTAATGCTAGCTACTCAGGTGGCTGAAGCAGGAGAATTGCATGAATCTGGGAGGCAGAGGTTGCAGTGAGCCGAGATGGTGCCACTGCATGCCGGTCTGGGAGACAGTATGAGACTCCATCTCAAAAAGAAAAAAAATAAAATAAATAAAGGAAAGAAGGCTCTGTTGGAGCCTGGATTGGGGAAAATATACCAGAGAGGGACAGGGTCACAACAGAAAAATCACATTGAACTGGAATTGGTAATAGGTAGGAAAATCTCAAGTGTTCTGTTCTCCTGGTTTAGCATCACTGGCCACCATATTTTGAAAAATGATAATAATAACTATTATCGGATGACACTTCAAATGAAAATATAAGCAGGACATGAAACACTGTCCTCAGCAAAAAACCTCAATAATTGGGGAAAGAAAAAAAAAATAGCCCTGGCTGGGAGGTCCCTGGGAACCCTCACATCTGCAGGAGTCTGCAGCCTGTCCCAGGCACTGGGGTGCAACCAAGATCACTAACGTCCCTGTCCTCATAGAGCTCTTGCTCTCATGGGCAGGAAGACAAACATGCAAAGAGATCTGGAATGTGAGATTAGGTGTTGACAAGAGCTCCGGAGGGAGCAGAGCATGGAAAGGTCAGAAACGGAAGATCCAGGGTCTCTGAAGGAGGTGTCAGGAAAGAAGTTTAAGGATGCCCTGATGTGAGCAGGACCTGAGGGCAGTGTGGAGGGAGCCATGCAGACCCCTGGGGAAGAGGATTTCAAAGAGAAAAATGCCGAGGTCAGAAGGGTTGAAGAAATGGGGGTCATGCCACTGACTTTGACCCAGTAGGACATTAGGACAAAAACACAACACACACACATACAACACAAAGAGGGGTGTGTGTGTGTGTGTGTGTGTGTGTCTACAAGGCTGATGATTGAAGAGATCTTCTCAGGACCCAAGGCCCCATCTTTTTACCCCAATACATAGGTCTCAATATTGACTGATGCTCTCTCCACCTCCTAGCATCACTTTTTATCTTCTGGAACCCGCCCACCACTGCCCAAGTCACGATCGAAGCCCAGCCAACCAAAGTTTCCGAGGGGAAGGATGTTCTTCTACTTGTCCACAATTTGCCCCAGAATCTTACTGGCTACAGCTGGTACAAAGGGCAAATAATGGACCTCCAGCATTACATTGCAGCATATACAATAGACACTGAAATGATTATATTTGGGCCTGCATACAGTGGACGAGAAACAGTATATTCCAATGCATCCCTGCTGATCCAGAATGTCACCAAGAATGACACAGGATCCTACACCATTCAAATCAGAAAGCGAGGTGATAAGACTAAAGGAGTAACTGGACATTTCACCTTATACCGTGAGTGATTCCACATGATTCCTGGGTGTTGAGGGGTGGAGGTCACTTTTACTTTTCACACACAGGATGGTCAGGCCTGGACTGCCTGTGTCACTCTCTGCATTATGTCCCATGTTGGGGTTTCAGCATTTAGTGCAGGACACACACAGAGGAGACAAACTACAACAGACCAGAATTCCTTTCCTGCCTCCAGACCCTGCAGACACTTGCTGCACAGGAAGGACAGTCTCATGGCGGGGGGGCGGTGCTCAGCAGGAGGAGGTCAGTCTCAGCCAAGCACTTCATGTCCTCTTCATAAACTTGACCCTGAGAAAGACCCTGGAGAACTGAGTAGGGCTTTGCCTAAGAGGCCCCCTGAGATACTCTCAGAAAAGCTCAGCCCTAGAAACCTCAACCCCAGACCCCTGTCCCTAAATCCTTACTCCAGATAAAGCTGAGGAGCCTGTGCCAGGCCTGGGTTGTGGCAGGGCTTACTGGGACCAAGGATTTACCAGCTGTCTGAGGACTGTGTCTCCTGGAGCTGCTCACCAGCCAGGGCTCAGCCCTCAGAGCCTCATTTGGGCAAGGACAAAGCTTTCTTCACCTGAGACTCAGAGTGGAGAGGACAGAAAGACAAGCTTTGTAGGCCATCAGTCAACTGCCTTGTGAGGCTTTGGACACTCCATAGAAAGTCTAATGTCCCCAGAAGCAGAAACAGAAGAGAGAAAAGGTACCTGGCAGCAGCTTGTCCACAGGGATGTGACCTAAAGGTGCTCCCTCATGGAAGTGAAAGTGAATAATAATAAATGTTGTTTGTGTGAACACCTCCACTGTGCCAAGCATTAGGTCAGATGACTGTGAAGAATTTACAATTTATTCACAGATAGCATGAAAAGCCATAGTCCATTCGCCATTTAGCTTATTTGACTGAGAGAAAACTGAGGCACAGGAAGGCACAGTCACTGAACCAGAGTCACACAAACACAAAAGGCAGATCAGGGTCACATGAGGTCTGTCTGCAGCCACAGGCCCATCCTCTCCTCCACCAGAAGTGAGGAATTACTGGGATCCAAGAGTCCCATAGTCATTTATCGGCTCAAATCCTCTCATCTTCGGCATCCAAACCTCAGAGGAGTAAAAGCAAATGTTCAGCTGATTAGTCTGTACTCCGGAACTAAATCACCTGCCTCAACTGTCAGAGTCAGTGCAAAAAATGTTCAGGCCTCCCCCTCAGATCTTAACCCCTATCACTGAAACTGAAATCCTCTGTTTACCAAAGTGTCCATGTCACTGGCATAACAGGATAAAGGACAGGACCTTGTTTTCTTTCCCCACTCACACCCTGCACCATCACAGGCCCAGTGAGAGACACACACTCAGGTGCTCTCACATAACAAATGAAGGAATTGAATGAAGAAATGAATGATCCATAACCTCTTTAGACACTGGATCTCAGATGCAGAATCCTAGGAGGTCTAGGCCACACCTTTCCCTTGTCCTTCAAAGGCTGACACCCATCTTTCATCCCCCACTACCTCTTGCCCCTAAAGACACCCCACCTCATGTAAGTCGAAATCCTTTGGCCACTGGAGGGTTTCAGGGCTCCCTGGTTCTGGACTGTGGAAATGGTGACACCTATTCCCTGGGGTCTCTGAAGTCACTGTAGCCCCCACTGTTCACTGCCATGCTGTCTCTGCCTCTCTCTGCTTCTCTGTGTCCCTCATCTTCCTCCCACTTCATTCTAACTGGCAAGCCCTGCCCTGCACAGCTTCTTCCTCCACCCCTAGCCCTTCCCCAGACAATCCCTCTAACTAGGCTGACTTGTATTCCCTTCCTGCTAACACTGTGGAATGGTCCACCTCCCAGGTAATAGGAAAGGTATAGAAATGACCTGGAGTTTCCACTCCTGCCAGGCTTCATCTCGAACCAATGTCCACAAGTCACTAAGAGAATGAGCTTCCACTGTATCCCCATCCAGGGCTGTTTCCTGTTGTGAGGCTGATCTGTGCACAAGACCGTGGGACAGGGATAGGCAGCTCCTCCATCCATTCTTATAATTCCCAGACATGTTCTTCTGGCCTCCTGCACAAACAAAACCAATTTATCCAGATGGTGATTTGCAGTAAAGAAAGATTTTAATGACTCCAAGTCTGCCAAATAGGAGGACGGAGGTATATTATTACTCAAATCAGCCTCCCTAGTGGATCAGGGGTTAGAGACTTTTTTTTTTTTAATTTTAAAATCTTTTTTTAAAATATACTTTAAGTTCTAGGGTACATGTGCACAACGTGCAGGTTTGTTACATATGTGTTTATTTGCCATGTTAGTGTGCTGCACCCATCAACTCGTCATTTACATCAGGTATAACTCTCATTGCAACCCGACCCCCAACCCCTCCCCATAATAGGCCGCCGTGTGTGATGTTCCCCTTCCCGTGTCCAAGCGATCTTATTGTTCAATTCCCACCTATGAGTGAGAACGCACGGTATTTGGTTTTCTGTTCTTGTGATAGTTTGCTGAGAATGATGGTTTCCAGTTGCATCCATGTTCCTACAAAGGACACGAACTCATCCTTTTTTATGGCTACATAGTATTCCATGGTGTATATATGTGAAATTTTCTTAATCCAGTCTGTCACTGATGGACATTTGGGTTGATTCCAAGTCTTTGCTATTGTGAATAGTGCCACAATAAGCATATGTGTGCATGTGTCTTTATAGTAGCATGATTTATAATCCTTTGGGCATATACCCAGTAATGGGATGGCTGGTTCATATGGTATTTCTAGTTCTAGATCCTTGAGGAATCGCCATGTTGTTTTCCACAATGGTTGAACTAGTTTACAATCCCACCAACTGTGTAAAAATGTTCCTATTTCCCCACATCCTCTCCAGCACCTGTTGTTTCCTGACTTTTTAATGATTGCCATTCTAACTGATGTGAGATGGTATCTCATTGTGGTTTTCATTTGCATTTCTCTGATGGCCAGTGTTGATGAGCATTTTTTCATGTGTCTGTTGGCTGTATGAATGTCTTCTTTTGAGAAATGTCTGTTTATATCATTTGCCCACTTTTTGATGGGGTTATTTGTTTTTTTCTTGTAAATTTGTTTGAGTTCTTTGTAGGTTCTGGATATTAGCTCTTTGTCAAATGAGTAGATTGTGAAAATTTTTTCCCAATCTGTAGGTTACCTGTTCACTCTGATAATAGTTTCTCTTGCTGTGCAGAAGCTCTTTAGTATAATTAGATCCCATTTGTCAGTTTTGGCTTTTGTTGCCTTTGCTTTTGGTGTTTTAGACATGAAGTCCTTGCCCATGCCTATGTCCTGAATGGCATTACCTAGGTTTTCTTCCAGGGTTTTTACGGTATTAGGTCTAACATTTAAGTCTCTAATCCATCTTGAATTAATTATTGTACAAGAAGTAAGGAAAGGATCCAGTTTCAGCTTTCTTCTTATGGCTAGCCAATTTTCCCAGCACCATTTATTAATTAGGGAATCCTTTCCCCATTTCTTGCTTTTGTCAGGTTTGTCAAAATTCAGATGGCTGTAGATCTGTGGTAGTATTTCTGAGGGATCTCTTCTGTTCCATTGCTCTATATCTCTGTTTTGGGACCAGTACCATGCTGTTTTGGTTACTGTAGCCTTGCAGTATAGTTTGAAGTCAGGTAGCGTGATGCCTCCAGCTTTGTTCTTTTGACTTAGGATTGTCTTGGCAATGCAGGCTCTTTTTGGATCCATATGAACTTTAAAGTAGTTTTTTCCAATTCTGTGAAGAAAGTCATTGGTAGCTTGATGGGGATGGCATTGAATCTATAAATGACCTTGGGCAGTATGGCCATTTTCATGATGTTGATTCTTCCTATCCATGAGCATGGTATGTTCTTCCAGTTGTTTGTGTCCTCTTTTATTTCACTGAGCAGTGGTTTGTAGTTCTCTTTGAAGAGGTCCTTTATATCTCTGGTAAGTTGGATTCCTACGTATTTTATTCTCTTGAAGCAATTGTGAATGGAAGTTCATTCATGATTTGGCTCTGTTTGTCTGTTACTGGTGTATAAGAATGCTTGTGATTTTTGCACATTAATTTTGTGTCCAGAGACTTTGCTGAAGTTGCTTATCAGCTTAAGGAGATTTTTTGCTGAGATGATGGGGTTTTCTAAATATACAATCATGTCATCTGCAAACAGAAACAATTTGACTTCTTCCTTTCCTAACTGAATACCCTTTATTTCTTTCTCTTGCCTGATTGCCCTAGCCAGAACTTCCAACACTATGTTGAATAGGAGTGGGGAGAGAGGGCATCCCTGTCTTGTGCCGGTTTTCAAAGGGAATGCTTCTAGTTTTTGCCCATTCAGTATGATATTGGCTGTGGGTTTGTCACAAATAGCACTTATTATTTTGAGATGCGTTCCATCAGTACAGAATTTATTGAGAGTTTTTAGCATGAAAAACTTTTGAATTTTGTCTAAGGCCTTCTCTGCATCTATTGAGATAATCATGTGGTTTTTTTCTTTGGTTCTGTTTATATGCTGGATTACGTTTATTGATTTGTGTAGGTTGAAGCAGCCTTGCATCCTAGTGATGAAGCCCACTTGAACAAGGTGGATAAGCTTTTTGATGTACTACTCGATTTGGTTTGCCAGTATTTTATTGAGGATTTTTGCATCGATGTTCATCAGGGATATTGGTCTAAAATTCTCTTTCTTTGTTGTGTCGCTGCCAGGCTTTGGTATCAGGATGATACTGGCCTCATAAAATGACTCAGGGAGGATTCCCTCTTTCTATTGATTGGAATAGTTTCGGAAGGAATGGTACCAGCTGTCAACATTAGACAAAGATTTTCAAGGATAGTTTCAGAGGCACAGGACTAAAAAAATCGGCACTGCTGATTGTTTGGGGATGGAATCATGGGGGAGAGGGAAATGATCTGTTTGTGCTTCAATTCGCCTCTTGGTGGGGACCACGTGACTTGCTGAGCCATTAGTCATGGGTATGGATGAGGTCAGCGGGTTGCCAGAATGCAAAGAATGAGAAACATCTCAAAAGACCAATCTCAGGTTCTGTAATAGTGATGTTATCTATGGGAGCAATTAGTTACGAATTTTGTAAACTCTGGGCAAATGACATTTGAGCAGTAAGGGATTATAGAAACAGTGCCTACATTTTAGCAGAATTCACTACCCTCCTATAATCTTACTCTCATGATCTTTCACCAGTTTTACAAAGGCAATCCCTGAGCAAAATAAGGGTATTAGTGTTATGGAGGAACTATTATCATTGTTTCTTCAAAGTTAAACCATAAACTAAATTCCTCCCATGGTTAGCCTGCCTATGTCCAGGAATGAGTGAGGACAGCCAGCCTGAGACTAGATGCCAGATGGAGTCAACCATGCTAGTTTACTGTCACTGTTGTAATCTTTGCACTGACTCACCAGGGTGTCAGAGGCTGGACAGGCTTGTAGTCTCCAAAGCCCACGGGCTGATTTCACCCGTTTCACTCGTGACTCCATCCTCAGCCTACTATGGAACTCGCATCCTCCAGTCACTTTCTAGAGACTTCTGGTTTCCTGTCAGGCATATAAGAAGCTTGAAATTTGTCACTCGGTTCTAACAGTAAGTAAACAGCTGAACAAACTCAAAAGTGGACAACTCGTTAAAATCCCTCAGAGATGGCCAGACACAGTGGCTCACGTCTGTAATCCCAACACTTTGGGAGGCTGAGGCACGCGGATCATGAGGTCAGGAGATCAAGACCTTCCTGGCGAACACAGTGAAACCCCATCTCTACTAAAAATACAAACACATGACCTGGGCATGCTGGTGGGTGCCTGTAGTCCCAGCTACATGCGAGGCTGAGGCAGGAGAATGGCATGAACGCGGGAGGCAGAGCTTGCCATGAGCCAAGATGGCGCCACTGCACTCCAGTCTGGGCAATAGAGTGAGACTCCATCTCAGAAAAAAAAAAAATACTGTAAGAGAAATGAAGAATGCTTTTGATGCTTACTGGTAGAATGCACACAGAGGGAACATGGTTCCTGCTCCAAAGCCACCAGCTCACCTGTGCTTCCTCTTTCTAGATCATTCCTTGCACTCTGCTCTATCTTTGGAGGTCACTGGCTCAAAGTAAGTCATCTTGAAACACCTGCAGAAAACTGCCCACCTTGTGCCTCCACTGCCTGATGACTGAACGTGCCTCCAGGCTTGGCTCTTGGTCTCCTGTCTTGTTTCTGCTGAAACATCCAGTCCCAGGCCAGGGTGCTCAGTATCTTCAGGGTTTCAGGACAATGGGAAGTTCCATTATTGTCTCTAAGAATGTCGTTAGGCTAGAGCTGCCAGAAGAATCATATCTGGGGGCAAAGTAGGATGGAATTTGGAAGGGGCCAGTAGTTGCACATTTCAGGTAGGAACCAAAGTGAGCCAGCCAGTCAGTTGATTAGAGAGGGACTGGGAGGGGCACCCTGGGCCTGTGACTCCCACTGGCGTGTCTGTCCACGACCAACACAGCTGCTCAAGATTCCTCTTGAGAAAGTCTGTGCTTCCCTAAGGAAACAAACCCAGGCTGACCTCTGATCTTTGAGCCCTTAGATCATCATCATGCATCTGTCTTGCCACATGCACCAGCTATTGACTTTCAAAGGACTCAAGGGCTGAGGAGGTGGGAGATGCCAACTCTGATTGAAGGATGCCTGTGGAGAATCAGTGCCACACTGGACAATCTTCTCTCTGCTGTCCACACAGCAGACTGCCCAAACCCTACATCACCAACAGCGTCAACCCCATTTTAGAATAAGAATGCTGTAGCCTTGCTTGTGAACCTAAGACTCAGGACTACCACCGACCATGGTGAGTAAACAGTCAGAGCCTCCCAGTCAGTCCCAGGCTAAAGCAACCCGGTAAAAACAGGATCCTCATTCTACCCAATGTCACAGGAAATGATACAGGATCCTATGAATGTGAAATATGGGACCGAGTTGCTAGCATCTGCAGTGACCCAGTCACCTGGATGTCCTCTATTATCTTTGTTTCCTCTGTAGGCCATGAGCCACCAGCTTAAATCAAGCGACCAGAGACCAGACATCTCAGTCTGTAGATCCACTTGTTGTGGGACAGACAATTTATTTCTGGACACCCGGAGTGGGACATGACTCCTGCCCAGGAAAACTGGGTAGGCACAGCCTAACCAAGAATATAGAGAGGATGCTCTTGTCATGGGAGACTTGGGGTCTACAGCCTGTGATGGGAGAAACAGGTGAATACCTCAGGCCTTGGCTCAGTGAACACAGAAGGGGTTTGGCTGGAAGCAGGGTGTGTCTTGGCTCAGGAGGACACTGTGTCAATTTAAGAGACCAGGAGCGTCCCTTCCCTTGAGTGACATCATCTGTAGCTATTCTCTTTACTCCCAGATGTTAGACATCCCTAGCATTTTCCCTTCATTGACCGACTACCGTTCAGGACAAAACTCTGCTTGTGGGTAGCCATGGACTCCAATCCACCGGCAGAGTATGCTTGGACAATAATGGACTGGGAAGTTTCTGCAAACAGGACAAGGATCTATATCCCCCAAGAATTACTACAAACCATAGCGGGCTCTATCATTGCTCTGTTAAGTAGCACTCAGCCACTGGCAGCAGGCGTTCCACATTCAAGGCAGTCAGTCTCTGGTAAGTGGATCTCTGCATCATTGGCAATAGGGTTTGGTGGAGAGTCTATCTGGCTTTCAGAAGGAGTCAGAAAACATTTTTTATTCCCAGTCTGTCCCATGGGCAAGCAAATCCTAAAATTCTCCTCCTGAACCCTCCCAATTTGTCTCTACAGACTCTCTTCACCTTGTTTTCCTGTTTTCTCATGGCTGACTTTTGCCTCCCATTCTGACAAGGGTAGGGAGGGCTTTCTACTCCAGCCCTGAGGCCTATGTAGTGGAAGGAAGCTACGGCCCAGGGACAAGAGGAGTCCTCAGTGCGCTGCTTCTGTCATCACCAACACATCCCTTTCTGCCACGTCTTTGTTTCCTTTTACCTACTCCATGAGCCAAAAGGAACATCTGAGGCTTTGAAGCAAGCTCATTTTCCTCAAATGAGAGGAAGAAGCCTTAGATGAGGAGGAGCACTCAGACCTCCCTTCTCTACTCCGGGCTTCTCTGGTGACTGGCCCTGCCTGACTCCACCTGGGGTGAGACCAGCATGTGTGGAGAAAGGCCCTCTTGGCCCTGTCCTGAGATTTGTGCATCCAGGCTGTGAGTTGAAGTGAAGCTAGGCTGCAGGGAAATAAGAAGAGGGAACCTGGGAGAGACTCTTGGCTGTGTCCTGGCTCTGAAGTCACTGGTTGTGAGGCTGGGCACTGCATGTAGGACACAGCACAGAGGACAGTGAGTGATACATGAATAAATAGGAATTCACCTCTGGGCTCTGCATGGCAGGAAGGGACAGTGAAAAAAGTGTGTATTTATAGAGTGTAAGACTACCAGGACACTTTATATGTATCTAATATAAGACTTATCATGCCCTATTTCTGCATGTGCAATTTAGTGTTGTGTAACTGTCACACTATCCATTTCCAGAACTGATTCCTTTTACCATATTAAACCTCTGTACCTTATAAACAGTAACTCTCACTTCTCCCCCTATCCCTTAGCACATACCATTCTACTTTCTGTCTCTATGTAACTGGCTATTCTACCTTTCATAAATGGAATTATAGAATAATTATCCTTTTGCGTCTGGCTTATTTCAGTTAGCATAATGTCTTTGGGTTATCCACTTTTTAATATGTTGGAATTTTATTCCTTGTTAAGGTTGAACATTTTGATATAGAGATATACCTCATTTGCCTACCTACTTATCTTTCAGTGGACTTTTCCCATTTCTATTTTTTTGGCCTATTGTGATAATGCTTCTCTGAACATCAATGTGCAAGTATTTATTCAATTACTTCCATTCTATAGGCAGTATGTCCAGAAGTGAGTTGCTGGGTCGAATGGTAATTTATTGTTTAATTTTGAGAAAGAGCCACACCTTTTTTTACAGTGGCTATAACATTTCCCTTCCATCAGTAATGCACTGAAACTCAATTTTTCCATCTGTTTGAAACACTTGTTTGTGTTGCTGTCATTGTTGTTTATCAAAGCCATCCTAAAGTGTGTGAGGTGGTGTCATATTGTGGTTTTGATTTGCATGTCTCTGTATTCATGACAGAACTCCTGCATGAAGCAATGAATATTGCGTATCTTCATGGAAAACTCTGTTTAATCCTTTGTTAATTTTTTAATTGGGTTTTGGATGTTTGCTGTTGTTGACTTGTAGTTTTTCTTATTCTGGAAATTAATTTCTTATCACACTTATAATTTGCAAATATTTTTCTCATTTCATGGGTTTGCCTTTACTTTCTTGATATTATTCTTCAACGTATAAAAGGTTTTGATTTTATAAAGTCGAATTTATCCATTTTATTTATTTGCCTATATGCTTTTGTTATTACAACCAAGAAATCGTTGTGAAATCAATATCATGAAGTTTTCTCCTGTTTTTTCTTCTAAGAGTTGTGTAGATTTTTGCTCTTAGATTTTAGTCCTTTGATCTATTGTGCGTTTATTTTTGCGTATGATGTTAGGCGAGTTCACTCATTCTTGCCTGGGATATCAGCTTTCCAGTATCATTGATGAGAACACTGTCCTTTCCCATTGAGCGATCTTGCTTTACTCGTGAAATCATTTGGCCCTATATGCAAGTATTTACGTTCTGGGCTCTCTGTTCTATCTTATTAATTTCTATGTCCTCCTTTGTGCAGTATCTTGCTGTATTAGTTACTGAGGCTTTATAGTAAATGCTGACATCAGGAGTGAGTTCTCAACCTCATTCTTCCCTCATCAATGTTGTTTGTCTCTTAGAAGTCATAAGATTCAATATATATTTTAGGACAGAGTTTTCTTTTTGCTGCAAAGTGTCACTAAGATTCTGATAGGTGTATTGAATCTGCAGCTCATTTTGGGTGGCATTGTCCGCCTGACAATAGTGAGTCTTCTAATTCATGAAAACAAAATGTCTTTCATTTTATTGATGTCAACGTTAAGCAATATTTTATGGATTTCAGGTATTATCATTTTACCTCTTTGGTTAAACTTATTCCTAAATATTTTAATCTTTTTGATGTTAATACAAATTAAAATTTTTCTTAATTTCCTTCAGATTGTTCATGGTTAGTGTGTTGAAATCCTTTAGTGTTTCAATGTTGATTTTGTATTGTGCAGATTACTGAATTCATTTATTAATTCTAATAGGTTTGTTCCATCTTTAGGATTTTCTACATATAAGTTCAAGTTATCTTCAAACAGAAATAATTTTACTCCTTTCTTCCAATTTAGATGTCTTTTAAAAATTCTTGCCTAATTTTCCTGACCAGACAATTCAATACTACATTGAATAGAATTATCCAAAAAAGCAGCATCCTTGTTCCTGCTCATACAGGAAAGCTTTCCAAGTCTTTTCTCCATTGAGTATGATGTTAGCATTGGGTTTTCATATTACCTTTATGTTAAGGTAGTTTCCTTCCCATTCTTAGTTCGAATGCTTTTATTATGAAAAAATACTGAATTTCATCAAATACTTTTATTGATTCATCTTATTACTGATTATAGTTCTATTCATAGTTTTGTGCTTTTCTAGGAATTTATCTATTTCATCTAGGTTATCAATTTATTTGGCATACAATTATTTACAGTACTTTCATAATCATGTTTATTAGAATTGGTAGT